TTCAACCCTTATGGAAGCTGCACATAGCTTTTGAGTCAGGTAGTACCCTGTGCTTCCCATAAGCTGGGTGTTACCCAAGATACAGGAGGCTTCCCATGGATTAGGTTAATACCATGGGTCAAATACAGATACCACTGTGCGCTGTACAAATAACGCACAAACTTGAATCATCCCATGGTTTCTGCCTGAGGGGCATGAGATTCCCAGGTCCGTATTTAGCAAGAGCTATATCCATCTCCCTTGACTTCTCCTGTCACTCACCACCACCATTGCAGCCTTGCAGTAAAAGGAATTGAAGACAACACACCTCAAAGCTCCAGAAACGAACCAGAAATGAGGCCGGAAAGCTAGGATAGCTTCTGAACACACGTTTTGGGTCAAATGCAAACCTGCCAACTTTGGAAACAAAAAATCTGGAGAACTGCTCATCTGATCAACCAGCTGAAACACACCTGAAGCCCACATCAGCAGAGCTATCGCTCAGACACAGTGGAAGATGGTCTTGGAGAAGAACCAGGTGAAACAAACCAATAAATCCCAGAGCTCTTAAGTCACAAATGAAACCTCAAAGGCAAGCACGGGGATTCAGGCCGTTAGTCGTCTTCAGCACAGACTTTGTGGCTAGAATAAGGCAAAGTGAGAAAACCCATTGCAGACAAGAGCCTTAGAGATTACTTGATATTAAAATTGGGATGTTTCGTTCTTTCAAAGGCTAAAATAGGAGCAATGCTCTCTTAAATAGGCATAAAAGGCAGAAACAGGAAATATCTCAAAAAAGTGAACTTCCTAAGAAAAAACATACACAAATGGAAACCAAGTATGCATGCTGGACATCTCATTTCCACAGGACACTGGTAATGCAAGAGTTAGCCGTGCAATACAGCAGCCAGTGAAATCGCTCACTGACGTGGCTGGTGAGCCAAAAAGATGCAAAACCAACTATTTACACCAAAGGCAAAGTAGTATCCGGTGCGATAACAAAGCTTACGTGGTAGATGTTGAAAAGGACCTCACTCAACGTCTGGGGAAGGGAAGGGAATTTGGTGTTTTTCAAGGAAAAGCATTCCACCACCCTTTGACAGAGCAGGGACACAGTCCTCTCGCCTGTGGTTGACGGTGGGACCACAGGACAGCAGCCCCATTTCCTAAGGAACGCGGCGGACGGTGCAAGGCCAGAGATGTAATGACCAGCAAATAACTGGGACCTTTGTGTCTCCTCTGCAGCGGTAAGTAAAGCCCACACAGAGAGGGATTTCCTCCCTTGTGTTTTGTCACTGCCAATCCCCTCTGGAGGCTTTAGAAGGTTTTTAGACTGGTTTCTGAAGGGAGCAAGGCTGGTATACAACATGAGCGGCAGTACGGTCCAGCGTATCAGGGCGTGAATCTTGTACACGCGGGTACTCGTGGAGTTCACTGACACTTTGTGAGCTGGACGACAGACATTGCCGGGCTGTGGTTTAGCGAGCCATACTCTGCTCGAGCAGACGGCAGGGGCAGGGGAGAGGATAGGGAATGAATTCCCCAAACAACATCTGCTGTTTGTCAGTTATTTTTACAATTCTTTGTAACAAAGCTGTAGAATCAGCAAGAAAAGAAATTTCTCAGAAATCCTCATATGATAGGGCTGGCCATCACACTCCCTTTTCTAGTGAATGCTGAACACGTACCTTTGCCAGGCTGAAGGGTATAAGGACTCCAAATGAACTGGCTAAACATGTAAGAGTAGTTTTAAATAGCAAAGTCAGATGTGTCATGTTCTCCCTCCAACCTCAATCCCGCTGGCTCCCACATCCTCTCCACATACCACGTGCATGGTGTTTGCTTATAAGCGCTGTAAATAAGACAGATTAAGGATTTTGGATGCAGTCAGGACTTCACTGACATCACCAGCAACAGTCCAGCTGGCTTAGGAAGCACATTCGTTAACACCACACCAGTGATCGCTGGCTGACGGGCACCGACAAATCCTGGGAAGTGGCTCTTGCCCAAATGCATTCTTATCAAATTACATGTTTTGCCTGGCTTCCAGCTGGAGTTAATGAATGCCACATACCTGTCTCAAACTGCGCTTGGCATTTCCAATCTAATGACCTCAAGACACTGGGGGGGAGGCGGGATTAAATGTGGTAGAAGAAAACAAGGCAGAAGAAAACTGATGGAAACAGGCAGCAGCTTGGCCAGATGTAAGAGCGTCAATAGCAGGATCCCAGTCTCTAACCCTCTACTTTTATATAGCTGAGTGCGCCGTTCTCTTCCATTAATCACCGAGTCTCATTCAGAAAGCACTCAGAGGTAGATCTCTACAGCTCTGAGCATAACAAAGAAGGGCTGAGACTAGGCAAGGGGGGGTCTCCCAGTGCCAATTGCTTTGTATAAAGGGTAGGGCAGTTAGGACAAAAAAAATTTATGCTACTTGACTATCCAAGCAGGACTAGTTCCTCCTCTGGGCAGGGAGATGGTCTAGATGACTCTTGAAATCCCTTCCCTGTCTTCCTATTAACGGGAAGTTTGCTCAAGGGGCCGAGTCCCATTTATTTTCGAAAGACTTCCAGAGTCACACTGCGGGGAGCTCAAGGGAACAGAGACACAGTTTCACCCCTCCCAGCTCTAAGCCTCCTCCAAGCAGCACGTGGCTGTCCAGCGCCCTCCGGACAGTGACCCGCTGCTGCCCCGGCTGGTATTTCCTTGCTGCCGCCTCTTACCTCCAACAGCGTTCCCAGCCCCTTTGGACACGACCCGTCCCCCAGCAATTAACGTGGTAAAGTCTGAAACATCAGGCCCTAAAGCATGAGTTTCATTTACACCCATTTCAAAGGTGCTTTACGCTGACAGAATGGTGTAAAACCTGAGTAAAACGCACACTCGATGTGATCTTTCCTTTGCCTTCCCTAGTGCTGCAAACGAAATCCACTGCCACCCACACGCTATGCAATCTTTAAGCTATTTCTAAAGCCGCTCGGAAGCCTCTTACTCATGAAAGAAGGGCTTAGTGGGACAGCCGGCCGCCACGTCCAACAGAGAAACCAATTCCTGTCCAGGTCAGAGGAAACCTGACTCCAGGCGTACCAGCGCACAGCTCTCCAGCCCTGCAACAGTCATTATCCATCAGCGAACAGGCCAAAGCCGCTGTTCCGTCAGGAAGGTGGTACTACCCTACACCAGGCGCACGGAGGACTTTCACTCCAATACTACGGGGAGCTGTTTGCCTAAACCCTCTCTCCCCCCCGGAGCGCAGGGAGAAG